ATCTGTCTATGGCTGCTTTCATGCTACAGCAGCAGGATTGAATAGTGGTGACAGAGACCATATGGCCTACAAACTTAAAACAGTTACTATCTGGTCCTTTATAGAAAGTTTGCTGATCCCTGGAACATACTGATATGGAAAATCTTCAAACACGTTCATCATTCACAGATATTTCTAGAGCATCCAGTATGTGTCAGACATTTTTCTAGGTGCTAAAAAACAAACAAAAATCCTGCCTTCCTAGAGCTTACATTCTACTGGAATTATTACACATAAAGGACAAAGTGCAGAGAAGTATATATAGTACAATATCATTTGTATTTTCAGTTGTACATTTGCTTGTATAGAAATAGAATATTTTTGAAGGGATTCACAAGGAAATGGCAACAGTGAGTGCTTCAGGGTAAGGGTTATAAGACTACATCAATGGAGGGAAATTTACTGGTCATTGTTATAAAATGTTGTGATATTTAGATGAATATACACTACACACACACACACACACACACACACACACACACTCGAAAGCTAGCCTGAAGCAACCAAAGTGAAATTTAGTGGGCAAAATGAAATCCTGCCTATAAGTTGAAAATGCCATTGCGTATGTTCTGAATGAAGGGAAATTCACTTAAACAGTTCATGTGAAAAATACTCGGGCACTTTCATTAACTATAGGCTAAAAATGAATAAGTCATATGGCCTGGTTGCCAAAAAGGCTAATGTGATTTTAGGCAATAAAATAGTTTTATTATCCAGATCAAGAGAACCGATTGTTCCACTTTACTATATACTGTCTCAACCATACCTGGAGTATTATGCTCATTTCACCTTCAACTAATCAAAGATTAGTTTCAAAATAGAAGACTTAAAGGAAATAAGAGATCCATCTTTAAATATGTGAAGGCAAGAGGGATTAGTCTTATTTTATATATGTCCATATATATCCAAATAGCACTACTATGACCTCCACAATCACATGAGTTAAGGGAAGCAAGTTTTGGCTCAGTATGAAAATGTTCTAACAATTTGGTTGCAAAGTGGGAGCAGAGTGGAAGGAAATTAATATTTATTGTCTACAACATGCATACATAATACTAATCTTTACAGCAATCTTGCAAGGAAGGTATTACTATCCATTTTCCAGAAGAGAAAATGGAGTCTCATAAATGCTGAACACCGGCCATAAAAGCCCTCAGTGGCAACCCATTTGGGACCCCTCTCACTCTGGAGAGCTCTTTTTCTTTCCTTTCTGTTCTTACCTTCACTTAATAAACTTTCACTTCACTAAAAGAAAAAATGAAATGTTGAGTAACTTCACCTAAGACTCTACAGCTAGTAACAGCAGCATAAGGATTTGAGTCCAGCTTACAACATGCTCCTAACTTGGTCCATACATCTCATCCTGTCCCTCCAATAACAACGTAGCCAGAATGCTCTCTTTAAAACATAAATCTGATCATGTTACTTCCCTGCTGAAATTTCTTGGCGTAACTTGAAAAGCCCTTCATGATCTGGCCCTCTCTAACCACTTACTGCTTGGAACTGTACTGTAGCCACAAAGAATCTCTTTGAATTACTCAAATACACAGAGAAAAAAATGTATTTTAATGGAAAACTATGCATCCTCTGCAGTACACTTTTCTGGGTTATCAGATTCTATCCCCGATCTTTGTCTTTGAGCCATTTTGCAAGTCATTGCAAGTTGTAGATAACTGAGAGACCTGTAAGTTATGTCCTACCCAGCAGTGATTTAGTTGACTAGTTTCCACCCCTGTGGAAAAACCAGTTTTGTCTTTATTTGCAGTTCATCTCAATATTCCTTTACTCCATATAAATCTGTGCTGTTTTGACACCAGTTACAACATCTGCCTGATTTGCTCATATCATTTAGTAAAATAAATTCTTTAATACATATTAATTTTTATATGTGTATAAGCATCATGATTTTACCTTTCTCTGAAAATTATTTTTTAACATATGCCATGCTCTCTCCTTTCTTGTCTATTTCTTGCCTCATGGCCTTCACATAGTCTGCTCCCTCTACCTAGAACAGATTCCTTATCCCATTTTCCCCTGTTGCTGGCAAAGGGTTCATAAAATATCTGTTGAATGGAAGCAACGGGAAGGTTAGAAGGAAAAAACCAGCCAACCAACTCGGGTCTATCTGACACCAAAGTTGTTTTTTCCAATAGGTTGCTGCCTTTCACATCTTGCACATCATCTAAATGGCCTACCTCAGAGTAGTGAACTCCCTGTCACTGGAAGTATTCAAGTTGAGCCTGGGTTATCACCTCATTAGGGATGCAGTATGGTGAATTCTGGCATAGAGATTGTTAAGTAAAAAAAATATTCTGACACTTGTGAAAACGGTAAGGAAGACTTTATTCAAAGTATATTGCAATAGAGTTACTGCAGTAGGTTAGAAAGATTGGTCTGAATTCTGGCCACAGCAAAGACAGAAATGGGTATTTATAGCCAATGGGCAGCATGAGGGGATCAATGGATAGAAAATCACTGAGAGGAAATATCACTGGCGGGGAGGGGTTCTTACTAAATTGGCCTAACAGGATTCTTTCTCAAGGCAGGCCAAGGGCTTAGACATCAAGAATGAGGGATGAGGAAGTTGATCAGATATCAAGGGTAATTAGATATCAAGAGTGGGAAGATTACTTACTTAGCAGGATTCTTTGCTAAGAAAAAGCTGAGCAGGCCAAAGACAGGGCAGGGGCCAAAGTCAAGGCCTAGTCAAGAAGAGGACTTAGAGGAGCCTGATTATGTATGTAATATATTAGATATATATATAGCCCAAACCTATATGATATGTCTGTGGACACTTCAAGAGAAAGCAACCTTAGGGCAAAAGGCATTCCACCTCTGTGAGTTTCCCACAGGACCCTGATACCAGCCCATGTGGCTTTTTGGTTTTTGGTCTATTAAGTTCTGAGCAGAAGCTAGCAGGGAAAGCATCAAGATGACTGTCATTTCTAAAGTGTTCCTGGGAGGCTTCCCACTGTGGAATTCTTAGGGAACAGCCCCATGCATTTTTTTTAAGTGGAGCTGCTTCTTTCTATTTATGTGGGCAAGTCATATCAGTAATTTGCAAAAGAGAGAGAATGGAAGTGAGCTCTATGAAAAGGTGAAAACACTTCGCAATAGACTCACCTCTTGCCCAGGAGCCACTTCTTTGACATCCATCAGAGAAGGTACCAGAGGTAGTTTCTGTGGCACACAGCACAGGTGTAGCAGAGGGCCCACGCTTTGCACAAGAGACAGAACCCAAATCAGTAGCAGAGAAGAAAGAATGACTTCCCATTAAAAGCCTCAACATGGCTCCAAACCTTTTCATATCTATTACTCCACATCAGGCATGGAGTAATTCCACCTTTAGAGTCACTCCTTTTTGCAGAAGCATTAACTCAGAAGCTTATACAAAATAGGACATGGAAAGGATAATCTGTTAGCCCCTAATAACCAGCTGTATGACTTTGGTTGAGGTAATTTCCATCTCTGGGCTCTAGGATCACCAAGGTAATAAATGAGGGGTTTAGGCCAAATCTCATCCAGCTCTGATTTTCTTTTCTTTTTTTATTTTTTTTTTTAAGATTTTATGTATTTATTTGACAGAGAGAGACACAGTGGGAGAAGAAACACAAGCAGGGGGAGTGGGAGAGGAAGAAGCAGGCTTCCCGCCAAGCAGGGAGCCCAACAGGGGTCTCGATCCCAGAACCCCAGGATCATGACCTGAGCCGAAGGCAGACGCTTAACCGACTGAGCCACCCAGGTGCCCCCAGCTCTGATTTTCTATGCTCCTGTGTTTCTTTAGCCCAGGAAGACATTTGTTATCGACTAGAAAGAGCTACCTAATTAAGAGTTCAGAATAGACAAGTTGTGATAGAGGACAGGGATAGAGAAATGTACAAGGTGGGGACACTGCATGGAGCCAAGTCTGGCAGTGGCACCATAGCCAGAGGACTTGGGCAGCTACGGGACAGAACCAGCAGGGAAAATCGGCACCCACAGTTGTGGGGACCCTAGTGTATACTAATTACAAACTTTGCTTATGACATAACTTTGCAATGCATAGCTTCCATCCACGTTCCATGTTCACACACAGATCCATGCATACACACAGTCTCTCTCACACAGTCTCTGTCTCTCCAAATATAATAGTTTACAATAGACACTACCTTTTATTTCAATAATCAACCTGACATTGGAGGTTATAAAGCAAACACTTCCCAAGCTCATGTTATCAGAGCAGTACTTGTTATAAGATTGAGCTTAGGGATTAATGAGCTCATAGCTTAGGAGAAAGCTTTTTTTTTTTTTTTAATTGCTTTTCCTTTTATTTAATAACATGACTCTTTGTAGGATGCCTTGAATAATTTGGGCCAGTAAGATGGTATGAAACAGTTTATTTTAAACTCAGTTCATTTTAGGTAGATTTCATGGCACCTAGCAATGTTGTTTATCTTTTATGACAAAGAGGCAAGCAGCTGATAGTATGGAAAAAGTTCCACTTAAATCATCTCCCAGAGCTCAGACGGTAGAGAGCTCAGAGATTGATCTGTCTCTCCGGGTGTCCTTTGGTTGCTGCTCACTTTCCATGCTTCAGTGTATCTCATTTTCATAAGGCTCAAAGACACATTTTTTATTAAAATGCTTACAACTTCACCAAGTAAATCCTTTGAAATCGAAGTGTACCTGTTTTTCTCTTAGGCGTTGGGGCACTTTTTAAAATAAAGCTGTATATCTGCTTTAAAATGAAAAGCTATTTCATCCTAGCTTATTACTACCAGGTATTTGAGGGATAGAGACTGGGAGTTACGGCTATAAATCTTTCAGAAGTGAGTGCCAGCCTGCAAGGTCAATATGGAGTCATTTCTAATCTTTTATCCTTGATTCTAACACATACACCCACACACACATTATATATGATCTATGTAAGTGTGAAAAATAGTCAAAGATAGTCAAAACTAACCTTATATAAAACTTGGTTGAATCAAGACTTAATTTCTTTACTTTAAACACTGTGAATATTGGAAAATTCCCTTAGTAATCCAGAAGTTTTCAAATGGCCTGATGTGCAGTCCTGTCTTTCGTAGGATATAAACAGGGCCCACACCACAAACAAAGAATGTCTTTCATCTTTCTACACACGGCCACTGAAGGAAAGAAGAGCAGGAGGAAAGAAAAGGTAGGAATGAGCAGAGAGGAGGAGGCAAGGTCAGAAAAGAATAAAGAGCTTGATGTTGGTCAAAGCACCAAGAAACAAACATCTAACACACTGACTTTTTTAAGGAAAATAGTACGTGCAATCCTTTATATTTTAACAGTAGGTAAAAATGGACAGAATTTAATAAAGTGCAGCAGTACAGGCATTTCTAAAATACTTCCTTTTTCTCATTCAAGGAGCATCCGTAAGTGAAGCTCTGTGGCTGAAAGTAGTCTTTTTGAGGATTAAATGAGTTGTTATACGGTAAAGCGCCTAGAACAGTGTCAGTAGAAATGTTAGGGTTCAGGGCAAAGAGTCAAGAAAGAATTCTTGAGATGTCTTTGGTGCAAAAAGGTGGTTTTATTAAAGCATGGGGACAGGACCCTTGGGCAGAAAGAGCTGCACTAGGATTGTGATGGGTGACTGATTATATACTTTCAAGTTGGGATAGCAGAAGTCTCTAAGGAATTTTGCAAGCAAGGTTTCCAGGACCTTGAGGGGACTAGCTGTTGTTAGGACAAGGTCATTTACTACTGTCTAGTAAAACCTTAGTCATGAGACTCTTCAGATGTATATCAGTGGGCCATATGCTTGGAGGATGATTGCTAACATTTATTTGGGGTGGGGCAGGAGAGATAAAGGAAGTTTCCAAAGGAATTTTTATATGTTAAAGTAGACTTACAGGATCCTGGGGGGTCAAGATAATGTTAAGCTAAGATTGCCTTTTGCCCTTAGCAAAGTATTAACATCGAGGCAGTGAGTTCCTAGAAGAGCTTCCTCTAGGAGTTCACTGCCTGTTTCAAGGACTTGTCAATGGGCTGTAAGTAGTAAATTTAATTTTTCTTTTGCCTTTCCCACATCAGGTAGTTGGTAAATATTTAATATATGGTAGCTACTATTATTACACCATCATAGTCAACATCACAGTTATCATCATCATCGTTACACTTTGCCCAGATAAAGATCTTGAATGGTTTCCCATTCCTCTCTTATTGTTTTTTAAATAAATCCACAAAATACTTTAGACGTCATGTTTGTGTTCCCAACTACACACATAAATAGGACAGTCTTCGAGAGTATGACCTGTGGGCTAAATATAAAATAAGCTGCAAATGTGATCTTTCCCCTCTGAAGGCTAAATGTTCCCCACTACTGATAACAACCAAACATTTGATGACCAGTTGCAATTTTCTTTTGCAACTTTAAATATGGCTTGCCATGTAGGCATAACAATGCTTTCGGTTAGTCTTCTTTCTCCTGAGAGATCTGCATATAGAGCATAAATTACCAATTATTGTATTATCACTTAACTCCACTGAAGCCCCCATATGCATGTGACATTAACCTAGCTGCTGTACACACAATAAAACAATGCAATCTCTGCCCTGTGAACACTTAAAGCAGTGACACCCACAAACATAAAGGATGCACAGTCTGGGTCTACATAACATTCCCACTCATCTGTTGGCCAGTCAATTCAGCCAGAAGAGCTGATTCTAGTCCTGTGCAGTTACAGCTACAGACAAGCACAAGGCTGAATAAATCAACAACCACACAATTTCACTTAGGTTCTCAAAATCTTAAGCCTACACATGGGCCTTTGTGATTATATGAAAGAAGGCAGTTGTGGATTTAAGTAAGAGATAATTATTTCTTCCTCTTACAGGAGCAGTACAAGAACGTTCCACTCTATTATTCCAAGAAGGTCACTGGTGGGAGAAGTGGACTGATCAAGGGACAAGCAATGGGAATTTTGATTTTTTTTTAATTTTTATTTATTTATTTATTTATTTATTTATTTGAGAGAGAATGAGATAGAGAGAGCATGAGAGGGGGGAGGGTCAGAGGGAGAAGCAGACCCCCCGCTGAGCAGGGAGCCCGATGCGGGACTCGATCCCAGGACTCCAGGATCATGACCTGAGCCGAAGGCAGTCGCTTAACCAACTGAGCCACCCAGGCGCCCAACAATGGGAATTTTGGTACTGTATTAGGGCTCCCCAGAGAAACAGAAATAGAATGTGTGTGCGCGTGCATGCGCGCATGCGTGCGTACTCACGTGCATGTGTGCATGCGTAGGAGAGAGATAGATTACAAGAAATTGGCTCACATGATTATGGATGCTGAGAAGTCCAGCCCCAGGAGTCTGAAGGAAGGAAAAGACCAATGTCCAGCTTGAAGACAAAAAGGCAGAGAGAAAGTATTCTTTCTTACTTGGTCTACCCACGTTGGGAGGGGAAATCTGCTTTACTTGGTCTACCAATTCAAGTGTTAATCTCATCTAAAACACCCTGATAGACACAACCAGAAATAAGGTTTAACCAAATATCTAGGCACCCATAGCCCAGTCAAGTTGACACATAAAATTAACCATCACAGGATCTAAGGGTTGCTCAAGATGAATAGTCAGATAAACTAGTAAGCTGTTCACATACACACATACTGGCCTTCACTCCCCATCCCCCAAAACTTTATTCATTGGCATCAGTATCACCCAAGGCTTGTCACCCGTTAGCACTTTCTGTTTATCCCAGCAAGAGCCCATAAAGGGATTATTTGAGTTTAGGAGGGTGAGAAGATAAGACTGTTTCCTTAACCCACTCACTAACCTCACCCTGGCCTCGTTGAAAACTATTGAATATCCCACCTTCGTTTCTCTCCCCAGCCACTTTTTTTTTTTTAAAGATTTTATTTATTTATTTGACAGAGAGAGACACAGCGAAAGAGGGAACACAAGCAGGGGGAGCGGGAGAGGGAGAAGCAGGCTTCCCACTGAGCAGGGAGCCCGATGCGGGGCTCGATCCCAGGACCCTGGGATCATGACCTGAGCGGAAGGCAGACACTTAACCGACTGAGCCACCCAGGCGCCCCTCTCCCCAGCCACTTTATAGTGCTGGGCTCTAGTTGACACCTTAAGGACAGAGCAGTCCCCTAGAAAGGATGTCCCCAGGACTTTAAAAGTAAGCCTGTGCCAGCAATAAGCTATCATTCAGGATAAACCTAGACTGCCTTTATCTCATTTTTCAGCACCATTCTATTGCTATCTTATTGCTAACCTACGTTCTTATTCATGATTCTACCTCCAAAATTAACTCTGCATAGTTAAACATACCCTCCTGACCCTCAAAGCATTGTTTTGAAGAGAAAATAATCACCCAATGAGCACTCCTTGGTTTTTGACCCTTAAACTCTCTACTTGAATTGGATCTGGCTTTGACTACACCTTAACCCATTCTTAACTTTGCATCACTCCCCACATTCAAAGGGTGGACCACAATGGGATACTTATCCTGCTATAGAAGAGAAACTTCCTAGAAATATATTGAGGACTCTGGTTCTACCTTTTCTTCCTCTTCCTTTTCCCAAAGCCACGATTCCTTCTCCAAACAGCCTGGCTCCTCCAGGAGCTATAAGAATGATAGGGTGCATGAGACACTGTGTTCAAAATAGGCACTCTCTAACAGATGGTGCAGAATGGTGAGTTAAAGAGAGAAAACCATTGTTAGGCAACATTTCAAACAACAAAACTAAGTTGTGGGGGCTTGGGGAGGCAATTGTGTTTTGGTTCAAAGCAGCAAATTACCTGGATGTCTTACGGTATCTGACAATCTAAGAATATCAAATTATCCACTGAAAATCTGGCTACCTAAGCTGCTTTTCCCAACTGCACATTATTTGCTCAACAAATTTTCTGCTTGCAAGTCTCTGAGAGGAAATTTCAAAATGCTCTTTTCACCAGTAAAGAAAAATAGATATTTTTAAAAGAGACTATAGAAAGAATCTACAGAATGAAACACCAAATTTCCCTGAAACTTTCAAGTTTCTCCTGGAAATAATTATAGCTCTCTGTAGCAAATGATGCCTTCCACTTACATTAATTAAGCATGATAACCTAGATAAATTGCTGCCAGCTATAGTATAAAATAAATATATATTAATTTCATCTAAAACCTCAAAGGTTTGAAGATGCTTAACCCCTTTATCATAGATGGGGAAGAATATTCACCAAATCTGTTGACATGCAAGCAGAATTGGTCACAAATGAAAGATGCGGGAGGCCCAGTTCTGCAAGACTAGCTTTCATGGTTGGAGAAAACCAGTCCTTTCTGTTCTTAAGGGAACCAATTCAAGTCAAGTCCAACAGAATCTTCAAATGTTGTTACTATGGCCAAACAATAACCATCACTAGTGATCAGGTAGATTCCAAGTTATCTTCTGGAACAGGTCCACCTTGTCTTAAATGGAGAAGTGGCATGGCATAGGGGAACAAACATGAGCTTTGGCATCAGACCCAGGCTAAATATCTGGCTCAGCCACTTACTAGCTCTAAGACATTGAGCAAATTATTTAACCTCTGAGTTTCATTTTCCTCATCTATAATCAAGATAATCTTATTTACTAAATTCAAAGGATTTTTTTGAAGAGCAAACAAAATAAAGCACCTCAATGACCCCATCATAGTTCCTAGTACCATGTTTTGTGCCCAATAAATGAGAAATCAAAAAAATGAGGGGCCATGCCACAACATGGAGGAACCTTGAAAACATAATGTTAAGTAAAAGAAGCCAGTCACAAAAGACCATATGTTGTATGATTCCATTTATGTGAAATGTCCAGAATAAGCAAATCTGTAGAGACAAAAAGTCAATTAGTGGTTGCCTAGGGCTGGGAGTGGGGAGTGGGGTATGGGGAGTGACTGTTAATGGGTACAGGTTTCTTTTTGAGGTGATGACAATCTCAGTCATTTAAATGATATGTTTAGACCACTTAAATTATTCATATGTAGGGCTTAAGTCTGCTATTTTATTATCTGTTTTCTATTTATTTGTTTGTTCTATTTCTTATTCCTCTGTTTCCCTTTAAAGGCCTTCTTTTGGGTCACTTGAACATTGAATAGAAATCCATTTTGATTTATGTTTAGTGTATTTGAATTTTATAATTTTTTTGTTTTTTTTTTAAGATTTTATTTATTTATTTGACAGAGAGATAGAGAGAGAGTACAAGTAGGCAGAGAGGCCGGCAGAGGGAGAGGGAGAAGCAGGCTCTCCGCCGAGCAGGGAGCCCGATGTGGGGCTCGATCCCAGGACCCTGGGACCATGACTTGAGCTGAAGGCAGCCGCTTAACCGACTGAGCCACCCAGGCGCCCCTTGAATTTTATAATTTATAATGTGTTTATATATGTTTTTGTTGGTTGCTCTAGGTATTACTATATATATATATATATATATATATATATATATATATATATACACACACACACACTCAACATAGCACAGTCTACTTGGACCAATATTTTACCACTTCAAATGAAGTGAGGAAACCTTACATCCATTTAAGTCCCTTTACAATATCCCCACTTTTTAAAATATAAATATCTGAAGTATTTTCTCTACATACATTGGGCAGTTAAAGTTATAATTTTTGCTTCAACCAACAGACCATTCAAAATCTGATGAGAAGGCTAGTCTGTTATATTTACAGATTATATTATATATGTTATACTTACACATTACATTGTGTTGTTGTTGTTGTTTTTTCCTTTCTGAAGTCCCAGCCTTCTTCTGTGATCATTTTATTTCTTTTTAGGGAACTTTCTTTAGCTATTCTTTAAGGGTAGGTTTGCTGGTAACAAATTCTCTTATTAGTGTTTTTTGTTTTTAATTTGAGACTGTTTTCCTCACCCTTTCATGCCAGAAGTGTATTTTTGCTGCATACAGAATTTAGTGTTGATAGTTCCTTCAGTGCCACTTCCTTCTGGCGTCAATGGCTTCAGATGATAAATTCACTGACATTTGAATCCCTGGGCCCCTATAGGTAATTTATTGTTTCTCTTTAGCCTCTTTCAAGATTTTTTCTTGTCTTTAGTTTTCAAAGTTTTGATTATTACGAGATCTTGACATGGGTTTCTTTGGATTTATCCTTTTTGTGATTTACTTAGCTTCTTAAATCAGGAGCTTTGTGGTTTTTGCCAAATTTGTGAAGTTTTTAGCCACTATTTCTTCAAATATTTTTTTTCAATCCACAGTATTTCTTCTCTCCTTCCAGGACTCTGATAATGCAAATATTAGATCTTTTATTATTGCTCACTGTCACTGAAGCTCTGCTCATTGTTTTTTCAGCCTATTTTCTCTCTGTTGTTCAGATTGGGTAATTTCCATTGACATTTCTTCAAGTTCACTGATTCTTTTCTCTGTCATCTCCAATCTACAATTGAGCCGGTCTGGGAATTTTTTTTTTTTAATTTCAGTTAATTGTTTTTCAATTCTATAACATTCCTTTTTTCTTTATATTTTTTATTTCTTTACTGAGATACTTAATTTTTCATTTATTTCAAGAGTGTTTATTATTGCCCAATGAAGTGTTTTTATGATTGCTACTTTAAAATCCTTGTCAGATAATTTCAAAATCTGAGTCCTCTCATTGTTGATTATCTTTTCTCATTTGAGTTCTGGTTTTCCTGATTCTTGGTATAACAAGTGATTTTCAAATATATTTTAGAAAATGTAGGTATTATGTTGTGAGACTCTGGACTTATTTAACCTTCTTTATAGCAGGCAATCACCATATTTAAGCACAATATGCAGGTATGGGTAGGAGTGGATGTTCAGCTTCTGTCTGGGCCTGTTCATACCACTTTAGCAAAAGTAGAGGCTAAATCAAACCACCCCATTGTGAATAGTGAAGTGAAAGTTCAGCTCCCCTCTTCACCCCATTGATACCCTTTCAGTGAATATGGGGCATAAACCCACACCAAGAGGATGTGTAAGCTCAGCACCCCTCTGGGCCCAGCTAACACCAATGATAGAGGAGGAGATGGAGGACCAACTCTCCACTTTGCACAGCCATGTTCTGCCTTGTTGCTGCCATGTGTGAGTGGAAGATCAGCTACCCTGTGGGCCAAGCTGACACCAAGAAGGGGAAAAACAGAATGCTCATTTGCCCACCCCTATACACCATCATTCAGCCTCACTGTTGTGTGAATAGCAACTCAACTCCCCACTGATCTCTCTACTGGACCCTGCTAACATAATCTTGCTCTTCCTTGTCCTACCTTGTTGATGTTGGGCAGGGGTGGAATCTCACTTCCCACTGGCCCCATTGTTTCTGCCAGGTGTGGGGATGGAAAATCAGCACTTCCTGCTCAGCCCTACCAACACCACCCAGAGAGGGAATCAGAATATCATCTACTTCCACAATGCAGGAGGTAATGGGGTGAAGGAATAAGACAGTAGAAGACCAGCTCCCTACTCTACCCATCGATGCCACCTGGGTGGGGAACTCAAAGTTTTTCATCTGTTTTCCAGGTAGGGATATGGCAGAAGATGGCTTCTCAGTGGGAGAAGTGGAGCATAGCCACCTATTTCCGCAAGAAAGAAGGGTGAGGTGGAAAGTTAGCTTCTGTTTGGCCCACTGAAACTATGGGGGGGTATAGTTTTTTCATTGGTGTTTAGTTGGAGTAGGACAGGTATTGCCAAAAAAGTTTCTTGTTAGGTCACCCTTTCCCCAGCACTTTGGCTAGAAGTAACAGGCTTTTCTTGGAGATTTTTTGGCTGTGCCTGTTGGTTCCAGGTTAGAGGGTACTTCAGTATGCTGTCTGGGATATATGTGAGGTAAAAAGGGAACACAGCAAAATCACTGCTGTGTTGTTCCTTAAGTCCTGAGGTCCCTAAGACAGTTTGCCTTCTTTTCTCCTTTTGGAGATTTCTTGTTTGTTTGATGTGTTAAGTCTATGATTTATTGGTAAGAGAGAGAATGTGAAAGGAATGAGGCTGCTCCATCTTGTCTACAAAAAGAACATTCCAGTGCTCTTTGTAATAGCAGTAAGAGTGAAAACATCCTAGTTGTCTATCAAGAGGGGAATAGAATAATTACATCTGATGTAGTTTTTTATATAAATTCAATTAGCCAACATATAGTAGATCATTAGTTTCAAATGTAGAGTTCAGCTAATCATCAGTTGCATATAACACCCAGTGCCCATCACATCACATGTCCTCCTTAAATCCCATCACCCTATTACCCCAATCCCCCCACCCACCTCCCCTCCAGAAATCCTCAGTTTATTTCCTATAGTTAAGAGTCTCTCATGGCATCATAGGGGAAGGGAGGGAAAACAGAATGGGAAGAAATCAGAGAGGGAGACATCTGATGTAGTTTTAAGGCAAACTACTACAGCAATTATAAGGCATTGACTAGATCTCTATACATTACCATGAGCATAACTTAGAAAACAATGGTGAGTAAAGAAAGTAATATATGGAATAATAAGTAAAATATGATGCCAATTATATAAATAAAATATTGTATACACAAAAAAACAATATCCACTGTTTATGGTGATGTACATAAGAATATAAAATTTATTATACTGCTTATCTCTAATGTGGAGAAGAATGAGACTGGGGTGGTGGTCAAAGGGGACTTTAGCTTACTTTTAATGTCATAATGCCTAAAACAGACTAGAGGGAAATAAGACAAAATGCTAAGAGTTAATTATAATACTGGGGGGATATGGGTGT